TCTTTCCCTTCTCTTCCTTCCTCTCTTTTCCTCCTTTCCTTCTCTCCTTTCCCCCTTTCCTTCCTTCTTTCCCTCTCTCTTTCTTTCTTTCCTGCCGTCTTCTCTTCTCTTTTTTCCTCCTTTCCCTGTTTCCCTCCTTCTTCCCTTCTCTTTCTTTCCCTCCTTCTTTCCTTCTGTTTCTTTCCCTCTTTCCTTCTTTCCTTCTCTCTACTCTCTCTCCTTCCTTCTGTCTTTCCTCCTGTGGCCCAACTCTAGTGAGAAGGGGTTTAAAGTTTAAACCCCTTCTCTCTTCGCTCCCCTCCCAAAGGGAAGGGGAGGGGAGGCTTTTGAAGATGCCCCCCCTTTTTGCTTCCCCTTCTGCCATCACTTCCGGTGATGTCAGGGGGTGTGGCATATGCTAATAGCCCAGTAGCTCATTAGCATGCCATATGCTAATGAGCTCCTGCAGCTCTTATTCTACGAAAAGACCCCTGGTTCCATCCATACCTTGAGGCTAATAGCCGTTGATGGACCTCTGCTCCATATGTTTATCTAATCCCATGTTGATGCTTGTAGCAGCCACCACTTCTTGTGGCAGTGAATTCTACATGTTAATTACTCTTTGGGTGAAGAAATACTTCCTTTTATCTGTTCTAAACCTACTGCTCATTAATTTCATTGAGTGCCAATGAGTTCTTGAGAAAGGAAGAAAAATACTTCTTTCTCCACCTTCTGTATTCTATGCATAATTTTGTAAACCTCTATCATGTCACCCCTCAGTCATTGTTCCTCCAAGCTAAAGAGCCCTAACTTCTTTAGCCTTTCTTCATAGAGAAAGTGTTCCATCCCCTTCATCATTTTAGTTGCCCTTTTCTGTACTTTTCCCAGTGCTATAATATCTTTTTTGAGGTGCAGTGACCAGAACTGTACGCAGTATTCCAAATTATCTCTTTCCTGGTCAGTCTCCACCAGTTTGGACCCCATCAACATATATTTATAGTTGGATTTTTGGCTCCAATGTGCATTATTTTGCAGTTGCCCATGTTGAACCTCATTTGCCATGTTGATGCCCACTCACCCAGTCTCGACAGATCCCTCTGGTGCGCCTCACAGTCCTCCCTGGTTCTCACCACCCTGAACAACTTAGTGTCATCTGCAAATTTAGCTACATCACTGCTTACTCCCAACTCCAAATCATTAATGAACAAGTTAAAAAGTGCTGGACCAAGTACTGAGTCCTGCGGTACCCCACTGCTTACCACCCTCCACTGTGAAAATTGTCCTCTTATCCCATGTCTACTGAGTTTACTTAGGAGCTTTTGGTGAGGAACTTTATCAAAAGCTTTCTGTAAGTCTAGGTAAAAAACATCGATTGCATCTTTGTAGTTTACTTACAGGGCATTTATTTACTTTATAGTCCTCCTTTCTGTCTGAGACTCAAGGCAGATTCCACAGTGCAAAACAATGCAAGCAAATAGTATAGGATATCC